TTGAGTCTCTACATGGATATAAATATGTTGAAAACTCTGTAGTATGACGTTATAAACACTTATCACTCTTCTGAAGGTATTTCCAGAATCCTCAGAGACTTTTCTAACCATCTAACCATGTATGCTACACAATAAAAATGTATCCTATCCAGGTAGCCCAAAATGAACAAAAAAGTAACAAAAAAATTCGCAATGAATCAAATAATTTGTGTCTGTATATAACACATTTATAGTTTTAGGATGTAATTGTAATACATGAGAGGTTCAAACTAGGGCTAATTATTGACATCATTTTCATGCTCAAACCATCAGTGAGCCCTCTTGCCATGCATGGAAGCTTCATTTCTGATGTTTCTCTTCGCACTTAGTCAGGTCTTTTATATTACATAACATTTAGCCGACCAACAATAAGTCCATCTAATGTCCATAGAAACAGCTAAATGTCGTCAAAAATTGTGAGTGCAATCACATGTCACCCCGTATGTCTTTGCCTGGCTGGACTTGTTGATATGCATGCCCACTAGCACACAGGTCTCGTGTTTGTTTGGTAGAGGCCATTATTAACAAGTAATTGCTGTGCCAGTCTGCAAGTGAAAAGCATATTGGTTGTTCTAAATGCTGGTCTAACAGTAAAGCAAAATGCTGCATAAACACTGTGCAGGGCGGTACCACAGTAAACACTGTTAGCAAGAAGACTTAACATCAGGCTGCTTGACACTAGCATTAACTGGAGGCCTCTCTTGAGAAAATGTGTTTGTTTTGTTGTTTTATGTTATGTCAGAAACTTTAGCCTTATTCATTAGGGCCATTTTAATGTTGGTTATTATAGTAACGTGAGTGCGCAACACAAAGAGGGTATTATATCCCTTATGAAGATTAACACCACTTCACATGCGCTATAACGTGCTGTAGTGGGTGTAATTATTGTGAAATAATGCATAATCTTGTAGCAACCCAGTAGGATGTAGACTTTCAGAGCATTGTTATTTGGAGTTGCAAGTGCATTAATTCAGCTATCTTGAGCTATCAGTACAAACCTAGTCCCTTGTGGTGCAGCCAGCTAGCCAGCAAGTCAGTGTGTTAGAAGTCTAAGTGCTCTGACGCCTATATGGGCCGAGGTTTCAGACTATATCAGATCCCAGACACGCTATCAGATGAACTCTTTTTACAGGATGCAGAGACAAAGCGCACTGTGTGCAGCCCAGACACACTCAGAATCCATTACTTTCCCCGGTACTTACTCCTAACTGAGTTTCTATTGAACATTAGCAGGGCACAGTGGGTCTAAATCTGAGACTGTGCTTATAGGATTTGGCCTGATGCAGTGGCATACATTTCTAAGTAGTGAATGTATATAAGTCAAATAAGTTCTTGGCTAATGTGGAAAAGAAAAGGTGCAATACACCTTGATGTTGGGGCATCTGTTTCTGATTTTTCTACTGTAGATAAAGCGTTCATGTCATGCTGCTACTGTGTACAGTCAAACGGAAGGCCAAAACAAGACTAATGTGAGTGTGCCAAACCACAATGTCCGTTGTTTGAGTCTAGACAGCAGACTTTTCATGTCACCCCCCCATCTATCACTCTAGCACCTGATAAAAACATCACAGCATACACAAAGTTATTGACTAAAACAATACAAACTGATGCATACTTAAAGATTACTTTAAGGTCCCCTGAGAGGCAATCTGTGTTACAGCACAAATCATACATACACATATCAGATAAATAAAAGCAACAATAGTTTAACATTATCTGTAGCAGCCATCATAAGTATCATCACTGTCCAGGCAGGCATTTAAAGTGAATGTATACTGTATGCCAACATTTGTCATTAAAAATAAATAGTAAGTATAGTGCACCACCTATGTATGTGTGTATTTCACATCCCCTGGTCCACGTATTTCCCCTGATTCCCCATGCCTACCGTATCTTTTATTGAGTTATTCCCATGGGATTAAATGAGATTTTGCTCGGTTGGTTTTGATCTTCTATACTTCCTACCAGAAGTGAAAAGTGAAAGTGGATGGGATGTATTCATCCAGACCTGCTCTGCTTGTCAGCCTGGTCAGGTACAGGTGGTGCAGGTCAGCCTGCTGTTCCCCCATGATTTCTACACAATTTTTCCTAATATGTTCCGGTGAGTGATTTTGGAATGTCAATACCAGCATACAATACAACAACACTGGAGTTACTGGTGGAGTTACTTGTTTTTATTATTTTATTTTTCCAAATGGAAACATGTATTTTCATATAGAAATACAAATCTGTGCGTCTCTTAAGTTGTATATGCTCTCATACAAGTCTTTCATCCAGTTATGCATCCGAACAAGGTGTTATATATACAGTATGAAGTGTGCTCTGCAACATTTCCTGTATCTCTGACACGGCCTTTACAAAGGCTGTTCTTTATGGCTTGACCTTTTCAATTATGTATTTCACTCGAGGGCTTTATATACTGTACTTCTGTCTGTGTGTACAATCCAGTAGAAGTTTCTGTACTATCAGAGGCCTGTGTTTCTCCTGCATAGCGTCTTAAATATTTAGGTGGCCTGACTGAAATCTAGAAGCTGAAGAGGGCTAAATTGATTGGTGGCCAAGAGAGAAGAAGGGAGATAAACACAGTGAGAAACATTAACAGAACAAGAGAGTAGGATGGAAAGATGTGTACCAGAGAGTCTGGAATCCTCCAAACATATACAATACCCTCGCCACCCCAGGTAAACACTGAATGAGAGAAAGACAGGATAGGAGAGAAATGGAGGCAGAGCAATGGAGGATTTTCAAGGACAAAGAAGGACGTTTGCTGAGAATAGGCAACGTTGGGGGGGAGGGAACCAAAGGGTAGAGAAATGAGACAGAAAATCAGGCCCTGCTTTTAATACCAGTCGTTATTTGCAGAGGCTGACAAGAACAGCATGTCTCACTGGGTGATATAGAAGTTACGAGCAGATTTCACACGCCAGACAGTCTTTCATTGTCATTATTACAAAGTGGTCCACAATAGGCTGTAAATTACACGTTACAGTACAATTTAATACAGTGCCATACAGATGACAGGCAGCATTATTATTTATCAATTCAATACACAGTCTCCCACCATTTCCACTGACACTAATGTTCTAATATAATGCTGAGAGAAAAAGCAAATCATAGAAGAATAATATATATTCCTTTTTGAAGATGCATTCCTCTGCAGTACTTTCTGTTCACATGTAGAATATTACTCCAGGGGATCTTGCTTCCGGCTGCTCGTTCCAGTCCATTTTCACAGGAAAAATACTGGTATGCTTCCTATTAGTTTTGGCTAAATATTGTGTTAATAAATGTATATGCTACCAGTTCGTTAAAATGGAGTTTGTTTGACTACAAGGAAAAAAACCTGGCAATGCTACAGCCTGTCTGTGAGGCATAAAAACATCACCATGCAGGTTTTTGGGACTGTGGACTGTGGTTCAGACATTAATTTCCCATCCCTTCCTGTCTTTAACAGCACATCCCACTAGAAAACCCCCTGTTTCCCCTCCTCTCCGCTCATTTGACTCGCTCTCTGTTCTGCCCAGTACCCAGACAGCCAATCACAAAGCAGAGCTAGGTGCAAACACACTTCTCCTGCAGCTGTGCTTTGGAAAAGGCTAGAAGCTCCTAAAACTGGAGAAAAAATCTCATATGCGAAGCAATCTTTGAGTTGTTTGCACATGTATTTTTGTATTTTATTTCAGAGGATTACATTTGACTCTGTGTGTGTGTGAGTGTGAAATAAAAATGAGAGAGAGCCCAGATCATTATCCACTTCACATTGGACAGCGGATTTGACAACAAAGCTGGCTGAATGTACAAAGGGCTGCATGCGGTTGCTAATCTGTCATTACGGTTGTTGTATTTTTCCTGGAATGCTCTTGTTTTAGTTGATAGAAGAGATGTACAGTACACACACACACACACACACACACACACACACACAGGCCTACTCACATACATGGGATTAGTGTGTAAGCCGTCCATAAAGGGAACTATTAACAGAATGCTCTCGCCCATTACACTAGCAATTGACCCTGTCTTCCTCATCCTACCACAGTGCCTGGGTGTCGGGGGGGTTATGTTTGTGTAGCTTGCCTGCCGCTGCTTACATCCCTCGCTAGCATATTTAGCTTTCATCCCCTTATCACTGTGAGGCTGACTGGAACATGGTCAGGCTGATAGTTCATAGAAACACACGAGCACCGTGTTCTGATGTAAGACAACTGACTTAAAACAATTATTTTTACTAGACTACACTTCAGCAAAGCTGGTTATTATTGAATGTTAGATTAGTTAAATGGTGGTCTAAATATCAAGCTCAATAATGTTGATCAAGGAGAACACATTTGTTGTTTTGTGGTCACATCAAACACAACAAACACTGGAAAGCTCTTTTCTTTATCTCCTAATCTTCTCTGGCTAAAATAATATCAATGAATAGGGCTACAGGGCTGTCTTTGTCAGAATATTGAACTTTCTAAAGTGCACTCTAAAATCCTGTGTTTGTTAAATGGAGCTCCACAAAACAGATAGTAAATGGTTTATCACTGTGAAGCATTATCACATCATAGAAATGATCTAAGCCTGACCAGTAATGATAATCAGTGATATGAATTGCTTCCTATTTATAGTGGTTCCACCATTGCATCTGTTTGCAGAGCAGCTCGACTCAAATATTTCATGCTTTTTCATTCATTTATTGATGTCTCAAGTTACAAATACGAAGTTGCAGGGCATACATTAGCAAGTGAGCTCAGAAGTGGGTGCATGAACATGTGCTGATATAGTGTGCAAGCTTGTCATGCTGAGGACTCACTGACTTTGAGTGGAGCATCCTCTCTTCGTCATCCTCACACTCTCTTGCTTCACACTCACCATGAACGCTCACTAATGCGCGCACTACATATGCTCCCTCTTTCTCACTTCCTCTACTCAGACTCTGCAGGGTGACTCAGTTATCTTCCTTTTTCCACTCTTAGATCTCATCTGATGCCAAGGCTGAAGGAGTCTCGCTCCCATGAGTCATTGCTCAGCCCCAGTAGCGCTGTGGAAGCCCTGGACCTAAGTATGGAGGACGAGGTTGTCATCAAGCCTGTTCACAGCAGCATCCTCGGGCAGGACTACTGCTTTGAGGTGAGTGGGTACACAAGCACACGGTACATGAACACACAAATACGCATTATGTGTCTCCATAGTCCTATAGAACAGTTCCACTACTGGCTCTGCTTCATTAGAGCATTCAGGGACAGCCATACATCTGGTGTTGCTATTGTTTTCAGGCATCAAAGACCCCTTAAGTAAAAGTTTTGTTAATGTTCTGCATAGAAAATCTTTGGTAACTCATCAGTACAAAAAAAGAAACAACTGTAAAAGAAAATGTCTGGTTCTTTGAGCAAAAGTCAAAATGTTAAAAGCTGCACCCAAGGTGCATTTTGATAAGAACCATCCAGTTCACAGAGAATTATCACCAAACTCTGCAGTTTCCTTAAACTCTACAGAGTGATTGAGCACTCAGAGTGGAGCATTTAGCAGCTAATGAGTTAGATATGACACCCAGAAACTGGAGGGGGCCAAAGCATAGCTAAAGAAAGAGTGAATGTTGGACTTAACATTAGTCAGGTGGCCAGAAATGCAACTCCAAATCAATGTTAATGTTGCTGGATGTGTAAATGGCAATGTTTGCCAACACATACACCACAACAACTCAAGAAGGTGATAATTTTGTATGTGCTGGAAATACTAAGCAGAAGCTAAAGAACTGTTTCCAGTTACAACAACGCCTCTGTTTAGCTTTTTCTCCATAGCAACTGGGGCTGCAACGAACACTTTTTTTCATTATGGATTTTTCTGCTGATTATTATCTCGATTAATCATTTGGTCTAAAAAATGTCTGAAAATACTGAAAGATACGCATTACAATTTTTAAAAGAAAGCTGAAATGTGAATTACCAGCTGGGAACAGTACTTTCAGGAACCAACAGCTCCTTTCACTTCACATCTTATAACTCGTCTTGATTAGCTGCTGATGGCCTATTATAACCAAATGATCAAATGCAGACGGCTTGTCTATATTAAAGGTTACATCCTTATGATCATCAGTGGACTGCATTCATTTCCAAACAGCCTCAAATTACCGTTAAATTCACATATGCATGATATGTGTGCACAAACGCATGTTGCAGTTGTAGTGTTAGCTAGAGACCCTTAGGTAGCCCCAGGGCGCAAGAAATGAATGAATACTTTCTATCCTACAGTGTCTTCTGTAGAGACCAGAAATCTCCACTAATCTTTATTATCCTGCTCATTACATCATTCTGTTTCTTTTTCCTGCTCTCTCTATTCCCTGTGTCCCACTGTGCATTTTTTAATCACCCAGTTGTCACCCGGCCTGCCAAGCAGTCATCTGTCTCCTCTGTCCATTCACACCATTCATCGTTCCTCAACACTGCCATAGTCATATCCACTACTGTGTATGTGTGTGTATTGTCGCTAAGCTTCTTAGCTTCTTCGTCAGAGACACAGTGGTATTTATGAACTAAGTTTAGTAAAGATTTCCGTTCAACTTCGTCTCTGTCATTGTTATGCGTGAGGTTTGATCATTAAAGCATTCGTTTTCCTTTTCTCGCGCGGCGGTAGGTCACCACCTCCACAGGAAGCAAATGTTTTTCCTGTCGTTCATCAGCCGAGAGAGACAAATGGATGGAGAATCTGAGGAGAGCAGTACAACCCAACAAGGTAAATATGTAAATACGCAGTAGGTGGGACGAGAGTGTGTGTAGTAATCAACCCTAGTAAGTTCATGTACAAGTGTCCCAATTCCAAACCACACTTTGCAACGTTGATTAGTGTAAAGACAGTGAGCTATATGGTGTTGACATCGTGTCACTGCTGCATGTAGCTCGTACAACAATGCAATCTTATATGTTGACATCCAGCAGTTCTCTTCCTGCACTGTAAACCTCAAAAGCAGAGGACACAAAGGTTGCAGGGAGGAACACCCAGACTCCCAAGAAGTGTTTTTTCTCTTGAACACTGATACCATCTGTACTCTTGATAAACACAGCTGCGGCAGAGGAAGAGTGGCAAATATATCAAGCCAAGAAAATAGTCTTAATCTCACAGCGTCTTCGCTCCTTCATCTGTCATTATTTAGTAAATTACTCACTAATTAGAACTTCGGAAAAAAAACTTCCCTAATAGCGTTGGAGTCCTCCTTCTCCTCAGCTATTTTGGCAAGAATGTGTTATTTCTGTCTCTGGTTTTTAATTATTCTATGATTTTGAGAGATTAGATGCAGTGCAATGTGTTTTGGCAAACAGAAACTGGAAACAGATATGGATATTCTTTGGAATTAGATAAGGAAGTCTCTGTATATGTATCAAATAGATTAAACTGATTCTGGTACACCTTACCACTACTAATGTAATACTACCAGTAATACCCCTACTCACATACTAGACCTGACTAGACCCGTGACTAAGGTAACACATTAGTCAACTAAATGTACTTGTTTATACTAAGATCATTTATCCAGCATATAGAGGACAAGCAAATCAATCAAGATACAATTAAGTAAATAAAAAATCTTACAAGTCATTCATTTTGTTCACTGAAAACATTTTTTTCTCTGAAAATGACTTTTTAAAATTTTAATCCATAATGATATACAATGGCTGTACATATTGGGCAACAGAGGAGAAGTGAGTTGGTGGTTTACAAGTCAGTATTTGTATTCCCTTTATGGTGTTTGATAAGAGGAAGTAGATGCCCATATAGTTAATAAATATGGAATAACAAAAGGAAGTATAAATGCATTCAGTAATTTGCAAGACCTGTCTGCCAGAGGTAACATCAATGTAAATGAAACAAGGTGGTCTAAATGCTAAGCTTGAACAATTCAGCTCCTGTGCAAGAGGATAATTATGGGTAATTATGATAATAAGCAATTTAGAAATAAATCATGGTGGTGTCTAATAGCAAATACATTTCTGTTTGCATTAAAAGATACACATAACACAAAGTTTAATTTCTAATTTATGTCATAGAGCACCTTCCTTTACAGTGGGGGGGGGGGGNNGGGGGGGGGGGGGGGGGGTTAATTTTGTTGCGTCAACATGGGGAAATTTACATGAATTTACTGATCACGGATTACATGTGATTGAAATCTAGCTCTCAATCTGCAGAAACAGTACTTAGCAGAAGATATAATACAGCAAAGACTTTACATACAGTACAGGAGTCAGTGTAGTCTGTTTGACAGATCCTATGTACCTTATTTTAGCTGCCCCAGCTTGAATGAACCACAGACACATTAAAGATAAGATTAAAGTTCAGATAAGATACGTTCAGAAACACCTGATATTGGAATTTAAAGACGACAGCCTCAGAAACATTTAAAATAAATCAGTTCTTTTGTCAAACATATGCAAAGCATCCAGATATTCTCATAAACATAGTTTCAAGTATTTCAAACATCCTTGTGATTATCAGAGGCCCTGGTATTTCTTTCTAATACTGTAATTATTAGCTCCTTTTCTTCGTCTTCAGAGGTAGCTTTCAAGGCAATCTGAATAATGGGCCAAAAATATTCCCCGCTCTTGGCAAAATCGATTGATGACATAAAAATGGGTTAGAACTCTGTGAAATAATGTAGGAGTGAGGGAGTGAAATTCCTTCACTCTTTTTTTAAAGACTGCAAACGCAGGAGAGGAAGGATTTTAAATGGCCACTAGGAAATGATTGAAGTACTGCCTAAAATGTCATTTTCAATGGAGAAACCTCAAAACCAGGGTTTGAGGCACATTTTCACTTGAATCAATTTATTTCTGTTGTCATTTGATTTATTTAGTTTATTGCTTTACCAGATTAGTTTTAGGTTGAATACTTTCTTCCGTTACATGTCCTCCTACTGAAACCAACTCTTGTTTCCTAAAGTTTCCAGCTGTGATGTTGTTGGCAACAATCTGTTGTAAAAGACCTTGCTAAATGACTTCCTGTCATTTTATCTTGCCCCCAGGACAACAGTCGTCGGGTGGAAAACCTGCTGAAGCTGTGGATCATCGAGGCAAAGGACTTGCCGGCCAAAAAGAAATACTTCTGCGAGCTTTGTCTGGATGACTCACTCTACGCCCGCACCACCTGTAAACTCAAGACTGACAATGTCTTCTGGGGAGAGCACTTTGAGTTCAATAACCTGCCTCCTGTCAAGAGCATCACGGCCCACCTCTACAAAGACACGGACAAGAAGAAAAAGAAAGATAAAAACAATTACATTGGACTTGTCAATATCCCCGTCGCAGCTGTTACCGGACGACAGTTTGTTGAGAAGTGGTATCCAGTCAGTACACCCAACCCCCCCAAGGGCAAGACATCTGGGCCTATGATTAGGATCAAAGCACGCTATCAGAGTATGAACATCCTTCCTATGGAGATGTACAAGGAGTTTGCAGAGTACACCACCAATAACTACATGCTGCTATGCTCGGTGCTTGAGCCCGGGATTAGCGTCAAGAACAAGGAGGAGATGGCGTGTGCACTGGTCCACATTCTACAGAGCACTGGCAAGGCCAAGGTTAGTACCAATTTTATGATTTGTTTCCATTTTCCCCACGCTTGTACTCTCCGTGGAGAAATAATGGATAACAAAACCAGAATATCAGACCATTATCTTGCCACGAGGTACTTACAAGACATTATGAAGCGCACAGAGGTTAACTATTCCTCCGCTGTCTGTTCGTCTCGTGAACTATTGACCCCCCACAGCTGTAATACAGAGCAGACAAAGACCAGACAGACAGGTGATTTCCCTTTTCTGCACCAGCTTGTATTACATTTTTAACTCAAGCTAATCCCTTACATGTATCCCCTGCAGTGCTTCACAGCATACCGATGCAGGACAGAAGCACAATATATCCACCGCTGTCTGTAGCATTGCAAGCACGGGGAGATTAGTCTACCACAGTAGGAGCTAAGTCTCCCATGACAGCAGGCCGTTGGACTCAGATAATCTCCCATCCATCCAAAATAGCTCTATTTTACCTTACTCTGACAGCACAGCGTCTGTCTTCCCAGTGCAGTGAAACAAACATTGGCATTACATATGAGAGGGAAAGCCATCTTGTTGGGTGATGATGGGGATGTAAAGAATATCAAAGGATGTAAATATTTGATTATTTTTTTTCTGTTTTTATTGATTGTAAATTGAATTGCTTTGGATTTTGGTTTGTTGGTTGGACAAAACCAGACATATAAAGGTGCCAAATTTATTCTGGGAAGGTGCCCCAATTTTAGAGATCAAACGATTAATTGAGAAAACGTCCTAACTACCTAATCAGTAGTTAAAAAAATCATTTGTGTGATTATAATCATGTACTGAACTCAGTTCCAAAGCTTTTGTAATGAATCAGTTTTTGTCAGGAAATAGGCATCTTGTTGTCCTTGTAATGTCTGAAATAACTGTCTGCTTTTATTTGAACATTGCTTCAGGCTGCTTTCTTCACTGCAGCACCAACTTCTTCGTCTTCTCTGCCTTGTCAGTTGCCAGCGACGACTTGTGCCTCAATTTAGCTTCTTGACAGTATCTCATCAGCAGAGCTTTGAAACTTTCTTTGACTTTATCACGGCTCAGCGGAATGATGAACGATCAGTGCTTAAGAAGTGATGTCTATCCACACTGTACCGCCAGTCTGCCGGTTTAGGCTCGGGACAGATAGCTGCTGATTGATGGGGTAGAAGGCTTCTACTGGTCCCCGGAGAGATGGTCACATCCTTAATTACTTTCAATTAATCCCCACCTTCCGAGCAAAGCACTAAAACTTTAACTTCTTTCTCACCTCCCGGTCTTATTTTCCAGCTGCTTTTCTGCTAGCTGTGGATGCCGCTGCTTAAACAGCACCAGAGATGGTATTTTCAAGGTTGCTCATCATGAGAGAGACCCTGAAAAATTGTCCTCAGTCACAATGTATACAAGAGAAAAAAATTCAACATGAAAAAAATTCCTTTTAAATGTATCTTCGTGGGGCTGTAAATGCAGAGAAATGCTGCTGTTGCATTCAGAAGAATAGTCAAACAAGCTTTTGGACTGATGTTAAAGAAGAAGAAATTGATGAAAGCTGCTGTCAAAATGTCGAGTGCCTGTGCTATTTGCTACTGCAGTTTCATTTCTGAAAAGACTTTCATCATCATGTGGTCTGACATATTTAGGCAGTAAACACAGGCTTGAGTACATGTTTTTCCTTTAGCCTTGATGGATAGAGCAGTCATGTCATGCCAAAAACAACACACGGCGATACAGACAAACCACTTATCCTAAAATATTCCCAAGGCCTAATTAGGATATCCTCTGCTGCAGCATAGATCCTTTATATACAGACATCTTGGCCAATGTTGCATGGTTTGTTCATTTACAATCCAATGATGAAGTTCTTTTTTCATGTACTGCCAACTTGGGTGCGGTCTTTGCTAACATGAGTGAGTTATATTTAGTAATCAAGCAATTTACTTGGGAATCCGTAAACTGTGGCAAATCCTGTAAGCCTAGTTTTATTGTTTTCCTTCTAAAGTTTAATAGAGCCTTGGGTTATTTACCCCTCTCCTTGGTATTGTTGTGTAGTCTTTCAACTATTCAGACTCAAGTCACAATCCATGAGTCAATATCTAATTCTGTTAGCACCACAGTGGATTTCTATAGTTCATACAGAGAGACAGAGACTTTGCATTGCTCTTGCATTAGAGAATCACAAAGGGTCCTCTCTTGCACCCAGTAGAGGTGAACGGGAGGTGAACGTTTCTGTATGGAGATTCAGCGGTAACTCTTTGTAGGTCTCAAGTTCTGCTGATGTGCATCGCGTTTAATCAGCTGTGTACAGGTGCAAAACAGCTTCTAACTGCAGATGGCTTTTGTTAAGAGATGCAGATTGCAGGTTGTAACGGGCATTAGTATGCAACACCTCTACACTTCTGTTTTTTCCTGTGTCATTTTATCACCCATCACCAAATAATTACACCCCGAATATTCTGCTCCGTTGCACACTCGCTCCTGCTCTCTTGTTCTCTGCCTACTTTCCGTCTTTGTCTTCCTCCATCTCTCTTTCGTGCTTCATTGCGTCTTGAGGCCAAAGCTCTCCGGAGAGATGTCATTACTGATGCTGTATTGGTGTCAGGATGCAGTGGCGAGTACACCGGCCACACCCTGCGTCGCTGCACAGATGCTAACTTTTCGCACACACGCCTACGTTGATCACAAGACGTAAGCAGGTAGTTGCAGATCATTTATTAAGTTTTATGAGCAAGTAGGCCTGCAGTTGTTTTATTAAGATATATGAGACTTATCACAAGGTTAGGTCAGAAGTGTACACTGGCTTTGGGTTGAAGTATGAATAAATCAATCAATGGTCAGTTTTATGTCAACTGAATAAATGTGATTTTAAAGCAATAAATCTTGCTGAAATCAAAATCAAAAATCCACTCATAACATATCTGCTGATTTCTCGTACTGTAAGGTCACCAGTCCGTCTCCTCCCCAGTGGGACACGCTGTAAAGTCCATACACCCAAACAGCACTACTAGAAGCTCCATAGTAACAATACAAAGCCCTGTGCTGTGTTGGAATTGCCTGAAGAAGTTCACCTTTCTTTCATCTGAAAATATCCACTCCTGGCATGAATCCTCTGCGTTATTGATCTAGTCTTGTCGACGCCTCGGCCCTCGGGAAGATTATGTTCTAATTTTGTTGCTGCTCCTCTCAGCCGCTCCGACTGTTGGAAGTGACGATAAGGAGGATTTATCCTTATGATAAGTGGCTGGTGGAGGGCGGTGCTCTGGTTATTATGCCATTGCGTTTTTATGTTACTGCTCCTCAAGGTAAACTAACAGCCCTGCTTAAGAGGGCGAAATATGTGTGAGCCTCTCCTCTCTGCGTCGTCCGTGGTAAATGGCCGTTGGCCTGCAGCACAGCTCCAGTTATGTTAAGCACGAGCATCTTATTAATGCATTCAGCTCTGTCATCAGTGGGCAGTGATGCTCGTCACCACAGCTGTGGCACACAGGCACAGTTTGTCGTACGTACATAATATGCTGTGACAAATGATTTACTAACATGACATGAAGGGCTCTGGTAGTTCTGTATTCCTCTGGGTTTGTTAATGTGGCTTTGAATTAATCACTTGTCCCTGAGAGGGTCAGTGAATGATCATAACATGCTAGCAGCTTGTCAATAACCTCCCCATTAACAGGGAAGTTGCCAGTATTGGTTTCGATTCTGACAATAACCGGTAAATGTTTTTATGTTGCTGCTTCTCCAATATGCTTCCAGACTCTTATCACTTATCATAAGAGGTGAACCCTCTTATGATGAACTAAAAAGTATGTTGGAGGAGATAGACAACCAGTATGTGAGTGAAGTGTGTTTGAGGGAGAAAAAGAGGGCACATTGAGAACATAAAATGCTAGCTAGGCTAAGTCTACTGTGTAGATCTCTAGATACTCTAATCAGAAATAAATAAATACCAAACACACCAATGCACTTGCTCTCCTTATAGCCTCTCCTGTAAAATTTGCACTACAAAGGCAGTGCATCATATTATCAGACTGTTTAATAATTCCAGCATGATTTCTATTGACTGTCTCCTGACAGCTTAGAGTGATGGAGAAGAAGCAAAAACATCCAAACAGAGAAAGGTGAGGATAAAGGTGAAGGCACCGGCAAAGAGGAGAGAAAAGAAGAGAACGAGGGAGAAAGAGCATTTATTGATATCTAGTTTCAGCTTGCAGCAACACAGTTTCTGACTGTGGAGCACAGCAGCAGACTGCAGGAAGAAAGGTCCATCTCTACAACGGTGCTCATCACATCGATCTGGAAGCCTCTCGACGTCTCTGTTGGCCCTCAGATTACATAGACTGTTTCTCCCTCCCACTCCCCCCTCTCATGATCAGTCTCTTTTATCGCTTCATTTTCATGAGCTTTATCCACATGTATTTAATGTATATGCCTGACATAAATATGCACAGCAAGACATGCGAATAAAGTTCTAAAACCATAAAAAAAAAACAATGAAATAGAATACATAGAATAATAAATCAATACAATCTTCACGAGTAAAATACTTGTAACTGCAGTAAGAGCCGGTGATTTCTACTTACTCAAGATAAAAGTGTTCTCTCCATTGTTCCATATCCTTGGCAACATGCTGAGTCTCACCTTAAGTTAGGTTCATCTTGGCCAGCTTTTCCATGACTGTTCTGTACTTAGTCACTTGTGATTGTCCACGTTTCCTGTTGCCCGGAGTCCATCTCAGCAAAACCTTTGAGATAAAATCTGCAACACATGCCATGTGCAATGCCATGTGCAGCACCCACAGTCACTAAGAGCTGATGTGCACCTACTCATAGAAATCCACTACTTTAGAACTTTGGTATTTTGGTTAATGGCCAATAAATCCTGCAAAACTGACATTCCCATCTGCCTCAACTTTAGTTTGTGTTTTGTGCTAATTAGCAAATGTTAGCATGCTAAGACACTTAACTAAGATGGTGAACATGGTTTTTAACACACCTGCTAAACATCAGCATGTT